GCCGACTCCAGGCTCACGCGCGGGCCGAACCAAGCGCGCGGATGACGCGCGACCTGGGCCCCTCGCTGCCCCGCACGTCTTCGCCCACCTCGCCGCTGTCGCGAGTGGCGGAGTGCAACGACTGAAGCTCGTGTACTTCCGCCGCCTGCGCCTGCGCCAATTCCCCCCCGCGGAGGACGTCGAGGAACGGCGCGTTCTGCGCGACGCCCCTGTTCGCGAGAAAGGCGTCGTTCGCCGCGTTTTCTGCGCTGGCGAAATTGGGGGAGCTCGCAAGACGCGAGCGCAAGAATTGCAAAGCCCCCCTCGATTCCACGGCTGCAGATTTCACCCAGCACCGAGGCCGCCATGACTCCTACCATGCCAATCTCAATGTTCTCGATGGAGACCATGGCCGTGGCCGTCGCCCCGACATGTTCTCCTTGGGCCTCGATGGCCGCCAGCACTGACTCGGGCGGTTGCAGCGCCTGCTTCGAGCCTTGCCCCTTGAGCACCTCCGCCTACATTGCGAGAGGTGCCGCCGCCATCTCGGAGCATTCCACGGCGGCCAGCCCCCTGGCGGCCGAGATGAGGGGCGCGCCGGCGGCGTGGACCGCGGGCGCGGGCAAGCCGAGGGGCCGGCCAGCGGCCCCCCGCGCCACGCCGCTGGAGCGGGGGCGCCGCGCCGCGCCCGAGACGAGGGACACGGCCCCCTCGGACAGCAGCGGGGCGCAGCCCAAGGAGAGGGCCAGCTGGGCGTCGTCGACGATCAACAAATCGCGCTTGGAGAGCCTCTCCGCCCCCACCCAGCCGCGCTCCACGTCGTGCTCCGAGGCCGCGCTGGCGGCGTTCAAGGACAGGGTCGACTCCTTCCGGCGGTGCCACTGGGCCCGCGTGGGATCGGGCCCGCACCCGAGTTCCTTCACACACGCTACTTCGCGAGCTTCCACCGCCCGCCCCTCTTCGTCTTCGAGAAAGACCTGTCTGATATTCGCGGGGGCGCGCATGGGGGCAAACGACTCCGCGTTCTGCATGTTGAATCCCGAATTCAACGTGGCATCCTCTGCGTTGCAGCCTCAGCTCGGCACGACGTAGCCGTTGGGATGGGCGATGTCTGACGCTGTCTGCGCGGCCGTCTGCCGATGGCACGCGGAGCAGATCAAGTCGCGGCAGACCAGCTTCGCCGCGGACATGCCCACTGGCTTCTCGAAGACGCCAACGAGGTGCTTCTCGATCCACTACTTGACTGGAGTAGCGATCGTCTCGCCGCCGACTTTCTCCGAAGCCGCGCGTCCAGAGGGGCCGGCGACCATGCTGGCAGTGGATCCCGCGGCACGAATGCAATCCACCATCCTGCCCACGATCCCAGTAGCAAGCCCAAAATTGTTCGCCGAGGCCTCCTGCGCGAACGCGTAGTAGTTCACTTCCGCGTCATCCCCAGCGCACGCAACTGCGAAATTGAACCGCCCGTCGGGGCGCTCGAGCTCCAGCACCTTGAGCCAGTCCGCAAGGGATCCAAACACGCCCGCCGCGCCGGGCGCCAGGCCCAGGCAGGCCCCCGTAGCGTCTGCCGTTTTGGCAGCGGCCACCGCGGCGTTGACAGCCACCGTGTCGGTGAACCCTGCGTGCGCCATGATCAAATCCTTCATGGTCCTGTCGCGCAAAACTATGCACGCGGCCGCGTCGCTACACCTCGCCATCTCCTCCGCGGTGCTCTGGGGGGCGCAATTTTTCGTCGTCCAGCTTAACGCGAGGAGGGCCGCCGCCGTGCATTGCTCCTAGAAGGTCTTAGGTCTTAAGAGAGGGGAAGCGGCCTTCGCTTAGGGCGATGTGGAAAACGGCCCATGGCGAGGTCTGCGCGCACGCCATGAACTCATCCTCCGCGGGGCGGTTACGGGTCGCGAAGCTCGCGAGAAATACCGTCAGCTTCTGGGCGGTTTGCGATGGCATAATTTGGCGGTACAAGGGGCGGGAGCGCGGGCCTGGCGGATGCAGTCGGCGCGGGCCCCTGGAACGACCGCGCACGCTGCCCCGCGGTTGCCAGCATCTATCGCCATGGCCATGGCCATTGTCCTGGGCACCACGAGAAGCTCTGGAGAGGCAGCTGGGAAACTGCAAGCTGCAACGGTTTTCGTTGACGCATACGAACGGCAAGTAGCGCTGAATTGCATTACGGCTGGACGGCAAAACTGGACATGTGTTGAATACATGTCCAGCTTCCATTTTTGAACATGGTTAGCTGAACGGCAGGTAGCGTTGAATTGCATCACATTGATGTCATTGCACCCTTTGCACTTACTTGCACTGCGTTATATTGAATCGCATTGCTCTTCATTGCCTGCCCGTGCTTTACATTGAGTTGCGGGCTGCACTGTGTGGAACTGGTTCGCACTTCTTCTCCCTTGCACGTGCGGCGCATTGCTGTGAATTGGTGCGCGTTGCTTCGCGTTGCGTTGCATTACTCGAGCAACGCGTGGGAAACTAAATCGTAAATTGAAGATTGCACAAGCTTTGTGACGTAACC